GCCTAACACCTTCCCCATGCTTAATCGACCCTCCGAACCTAGTTAATTTCTACGAAGACCTTGGTGATCTATCCCACCTCATTTGGATAGATGGCGACTCCATCCATTTTGGCACGTCAACAAATATGATAGGAGAGTAACACATGATGGCTTCAAAAATCGCTATTCGTTCATCATGGAAGGGAAAACAATTACTCTTGTGCTGTTGAGTCTAAGGCAAGTTTATGAGGATCAACTGAGATTGAAAAAAGAGAGTAAGCTGAGAAAAGAGAGTAAGTTGAGAAAAGAGAGTGAGCTTGAGGGTATGACAAACAGAGAGAAAACAACAGAGAAAGAGTTAAAAAAGAGAGAAAAGATCGAGAGTGTTGAAAACAAAGAGAGAAAATCAGTGAGTGTTTATGCAAAAGAAAGTGATGTCAAGGCTGCGTTCTTTACTGAGCAGCCTATGTTTGTGCTTCTGTATAAAGATGTTTATTTCAACACTAACGAACTTAATGATTCTTTGCCTAGTGTTGTTAACTCTCTTTTGCAGCACTTCAAGGATGTGTTTCCAGAAGACATCCCTAATGATTTACCACCAATAAGAGGAATTGAGCATCAGATTGACTTCATTCCAGGTGCAACAATTTCGAACCGACCAGCATATCGAAGCAACCCCAATGAGACGAAAGAACTTCAAAAGCAGGTTGAAGAACTCATGAAGAAGGGGCATGTGAGAGAAAGCATGAGTCCATGTGCAGTTCCAATGCTACTTGTGCTTAAGAAGGATGGGACTTGGTGTATGTGTGTTGATTGTCACGCTGTCAACAAAATCACTGTAAAGTATCGTCACCCTATTCCTAGATTAGATGACATATTAGATGAATTGCATGGTTCTTGCATATTCACTAAAATTGATTTAAAGAATGGGTATCATCAGATTAGGATGAAGGAAGGTGATGAATGGAAAACAACCTTTAAAATGAAACATGGTTTATATAAGTGTTTAGTGATGCCATTTGGATTAACTAATGCACCTAGTACATTCATGTGATTAATGAATCATGTTTTGCGTGCTTTCATTGGCAAATTTGTGGTTGTTTATTTTGATGACATTCTGATATATAGTAAGAGTTTAACTGATCATATTGAGCATTTGCAAATGGTAATTGAGGTTCTGAGAAAAGAAAAGTTGTTTGCTAACCTTAAAAAGTATTCCTTTTGCACAAATCATATTGTCTTTTTAGGGTATTTTGTTTCAGCTGATGGACAAACAAAAGTGGTTAGTAGGACGTTGTCAACCTTATTGCGATCTATTATTCAGAATAACTTAAAGAATTGGGAAGAGTGTTTGCTGCACGTTGAATTTGCTTATAACCGGAGCATCCATTCAGCAACTAACCGTTCGCCATTTGAGGTTGCATATGGTTTTAATCCACTCACTCCTTTGGATTTATTGCCATTACCTATTGATAAACAAGCTAGTTTGGATGGGAAAAAGAAAGCTGAAGTGGTTAAGCAACTGCATGAGAGGGTGCGACAAAACATAGAGTGACGAACTGAGCAATATGAAAAACAAGCCAACAAAGGACGTAAGAAAGTTGTATTTGAACCTGGAGATTGGGTTTGGGTGCATATGCGCAAGGAGGGATTCCCTGCACAAAGGCGTTCTAAGCTACAACCAAGAGGTGAAGGACCATTTCAAGTGATTGCGAGGATTAATGAGAACGCATTCAAGTTGGAGCTTCTTGGTGAGTATAATGTTAGTGCTACTTTTAATGTTTCTGATCTTTGTCCTTTTGATGTAGGAGACGATTTGAGGACAAATCCTTTTGAAGAGAGAGGGAATGATGGGAATCAAGACGACAACATATCTACTATGTCATGTGATCCATTACACACCCAAGCAGGTCCAGTCACGCGAGCTAGAGCTAAGAAGATGCGTGAAACTTTAAGTGGCCTTATTAAGCAAATCTAGGTTGAAAACAACATACAATAAGCAAATCGAAGCTTGGATGATTATCAAGGCATGGTAAACATCATTTAGGTTTAAGAGAAGCTTAGTTGAGGTCATTTGCATGAAATTACACAATTTGTGTCAAAATTGCACAATTTTGCCGCAATTTGTAGCAAACTTATATTTCGTGTTATTTTAGGTTATTTTTAGTGATTTTCACGTTTTTTTGTATTATTTTTGGGCTGAACATTCGCTTATTTGAAGCCCAATTCGTGGTTATTAGGTTTAGGACTTAGGGTGTTGGTTTCCTATTCTGATTAGGATTTGTTTTCTCTATTTAAAAGGCTTGCAACCCTAATAGGGACGAGATTATTGAATCTGAGATTTTGAGAGACTTTTCTCTTTGGTTCGTTTCAGAACTTTACATAACTTATTAAGATTATTCTTGTGGCATTCTAACTTGACTTATCATTCTTGTTCTTAATTGTTTAAGGGTGTGGCGTCAACCAACTTTATACCTCTGGTTCTTGTTGCGTCATAGACAACGGGTCAAGGTTTTTACCTTTGGTTTTTGTTGTGACATAAACAACGGGTCAAGGTCCTATTATAAACCTGATTTAGCTTTCTTGGAGTTTAGAAATCCCTTGTCGTGCTGTGGGTCTTATTGTTCTCTTTGGGGTTCTCATCACTTTGTCAACGATAAACAATTCAGTGAGGATCTCTATGTGTGATATCTTTGTACTTGACATCATCTTGAGGATGACTCAAAGTATTTTGTCAAAAGTGGGTAATCTTCAATATACTTGGCAAGTCAAAGTTTAGCTTCTCGCATCATTTTCTTTTATTTCCTTATCTTTTATGTATTGTTTTTTTAGCCTTTAATAGCCTGATATCTGTTGGATAGCTTTATGTTATTTTTGCTAAGTCCTAACTTGTTTTTTCCTTTAAAGGTTGAGTTTAGTTTGATATTAGAGTATGCAGCAGAAGCATAGTGACTTATAACACAGAGGTCAAAGATTGTAGATCTTTCCTATGATTAGCACTTGATTTGTATCATGGATCATGAGTAAACATCTACTAGTCTTTGATACCCTTGACTTGAGTAGAGAACTAAATTCCATTTTAGGAGGAATGAATGTAATAACTCTAGATTTTTTCTCAAATTTTTTGAGATCGAATAATTAATAGTTTTTTTAATTAGACAAAAAACTATGAAAGTAAATTTTATTTTTAGCACCAATGTCATGTTAAATGATTTATTTACATGATTAATGAAATTAAAATCAATTTTTATCTTTTTATGTAAATTAATGGTGAAAAGATGTAATAAATGCATCCTTAATAGGTTAGAAAAACTCTATAATTAAATATGCAAAATTTAATTAATGGCTGGGGTTAATTTCCAATGCCAATTATGGGGATTTATCATTTTCGAAGTTTAATTAAATTAGGGATTTAATTGGAGTCTCTATAAAACTGGCATGACGGGCGGTAGAATCCCTTCTCTTAAAATCCTTTCTTTTTCACAATAGTTGCCTCCTATCTCTGGCCGTCTTCCTCGTCTTTTTTGTCCAATAATAAAATCCTGAGATAAGTATGCTCGATTCTAATGATTTTTTTGTGCATTTTCATATATTGTAGCACTACAACTAAATTTTGAAATCTCAAGAATCCTTGTTCTTCTTGTTGTCGAGGCCTTGTCTCGAATCTTGCATCAAAATATCGAATCCTAACCTCAAATTCCATCGAGTTTTTCATATTTTGTCTCAGGGAAAAAAATCAAATCAAGGGCGGGGTGACTCAGCTCTGCACAGTGGTATTCGCTGAGCTAGATCTGATGTGTGGTATACCCCAGTGCACCACTTGGTAGCACTGGAGTGCACGAGCATGGCACCAGCAGCACCCAGTTGCTAGTGCTGGGCATGCTACGGGGGCCCAGCAATTGTCAACTACCAGCACATGTCCGCTGGTGTCTGGGAGGCGGTAACGAATCTAAAAATAAATGAATATAAAGAAAGGGGGAACCATATAAAAAGGGAAAAAGGGGAAATAGCTGCAATGCAGAATGAGGCTGGCATGGGGTAACAACACCCTGATTCTGGTACAGATCAAGTGTTGACACCTGCTGGGCCATTAAAAAGGTTAAAAAAAGAGCTATGCAAGCCGTGAGAGAGTATGGTGCTCGGTGTCAACAACCCACACCCTGATTTTTGTAACAGATCAGGCATTGATACTTACTGCAACCAAAAAAAACAGAAAAAAAAAAAAGAAAAAAAGAGGAAAAAAAAATCCTTGATGCTACATTGCGGCACCAATGTGCAGGTGTGTGGTGCTGCCAGCACTCATTTTTTACCTCACCCACATGTTTACAACTTGAATTCAAAATCAGTTCCACTAGAACCCACTCGATCGCCTAAAGATATTATAATTGATTATTGACTAATATTCTTCAAATTCAAAGCAACTATGGATAACTCCCCACACAACAAAATTTCATTTCGAACACGGGCCTTTTGGTGTAAAGAGAAGGTATAGATAATTTTCTTTGTCTCAAATAATGTGAAGCCTTAATAAATGTATAGCTACAACGTCAAACAATCACAAAACTTCCTTTTCAAGTTTCAATACAGCCATGAAGGCCTCTTGAGGTACGTCGACTTTTCCTATTGTCTTCATTCTTTTCTTCCCTTCAGCCTGTCAACAACAGAAAAGACAATTAGGCAGAAGCTAGTAATTCTAGATAATTCGTTTGTTCCAATTTAGGGATAATAAAAGGATGCAGTAAACCATTAAGCAATTCTCATTTTACATGATATAGAAGTAAAATAAAAAAATGTTGTCAAATCTTCAATCTATAATTGTTTTCTGAACTATTCGATGAATACCCTAGATTGAAAGTTGCTGGGAATGAACTAGAATTTACTGTAAAAAAGTAATAATACAATAATTTTATTGCATGTGTGCACGCGCATGGGTGTGTGTAATGGGTGCTCAATGCTATATCTTGACATGCGAAAGAACCTGTTTCTTTAGGAGCTTTTTTTTTCTTGTAATATCCCCACCTACAATGAAAGAAGAGTATGAAGAAAGTCATTTTATTAAGCCATTAATATACATCAATCACAGCTAATTTGAACTCAAGTAACCTCAGTCCTAACTACAAAAACAACTTTCCAAGGGCAGATCCACCTTTCGGTCTCACTTAGGCACCAAGAAAAGGCAAAAGCCTATGTTTAGCTGCTTTTCATATGTTCATTGCTTTTAGCCCCTTACCTTACACATTGAAGCTTTTAACCTCTTAACTTAGAAGTTTGAACATTTTAACCCCTAAAGTAATGGAATTTGTTAACTCTCCATTTAAGTGAAATTAAAAAATTATAAATCAGTCCCCAAAGTTTAGAAAAGTGACAGTCTAGTCTCAAAAAGTTTTAAAATAAATTAGTAAACCAAAAGCTTTTGGAACTAGATTGTCAGTTTTCCAAACTTAGGGACTGAACTGTCACTTTTCTAAATTTTGGGAACCGACCTTATAATTTTTTAATTTCACTTATCGGAGAATTAAGGACATCCGTTGATTTAAGGGCTGAAATTTTCAAAATTTTAAATTCAAGGGCTAAAAGCTTTAGTGTACAAGGTTAAATGTAAGCTTTTGCCCCAAGAAAAATACTAACGCGCAAAAAAAAAAAAAAGATATTACATTATAATAAAGAGATAAAAAAGTAGATAACAATATATAATATCAATAGAAAGAACAATTTAAAGAAAACAGATACAAGTTACATATC